CTTCACTGCGGAAGTTCACTAATGCCCAATAGATGCCCGCGCTAGTATTCTTTTCATAAGTGCTTCAATTGGAGCTTCCTCTACTAACCCAGGAAGTTCACTCATACCCGAGCAGAGAGCATGTCAGCCGTCTCCTTATCGACCTTGATGTGATCCGTCTTGATGGCGGATTCATCGGGGACGAAGTCCATGCGTCGCTCGCACCCCTCGTCCTTTAACTTGAGCGAGATGTCCCGAACCCGACCCTTCTGGTTGCGCTTCATGAGATGGGTCGAGAATCCGGCAAACGGGTTGCGAAGTCGCTTGGAAGGGTTTATGGCAACCTCATCGAGTATATATGTTCTTGTTGGTGTGGAAATCAAGAGTCATTCTCGAGTAGTAGCAGCTCGATTACTTGCCGAGATGCCTTCTTCACCGTCTTGGTAGGGACTCGTCCCATGGCTGCTCCTGCTTAACTCTTGAAATGCTGAGTCCTCGCTAATTTTATTTCAGTTTCTCTTTCTGGACTATTTTTTAAGTAGGACTATAATGGATAATTGTTCAATTGAACTGCAGAAATGATAATGGGCCAACTGTCTTGATTATCAAGGATAATGAAGGTTGTATATATGGGGGTTATGCTTCCCAGCCTTGGGAAAGGCATAGTGATTTCTCTGGAGATATGAGGTCCTTTCTCTTTCAGCTCCATCCAAAGGCATCTATATTCAGACCAACTGGGACCAACAACAATTTACAATGGGTATGTTTCTGCTTGGTTTCCTACTTTGCTGAAACAAATGTGCTTTTGAATTGTTTATTTGTTTGATATCAATGAATTTTATATGATGGTTCTCACACTTTTCTTTCTTTTTTCAGCTTGCTGTGATTAGTTAAGCCCTGTAGGAGAGCTTTATATATGATATGGCTCACTTGGTGCAGCAAGTGTAGGATATTTGTATTAAACCTTTCCTTTTCCCCGATTGGAATTTTTCTGCAATTGTTAAGCTCTGTTATAATTAGAAGGGCTACTGTAAAATGGATCATTGCTTATTTGATAGGCCTTATTAACTGTTCAAACTGTGAGTTAATTCAAGGGTTTCTCTGTCTAAACTTGGATGAAGGTGGGTTTGACACTAGAATAAAAGAAACTTTAATTCTATTGCACCTTAATTGACCATTCATACTCATTTTTTTTCCCTGAAAAAGTTGATTTTTTTCCTCGTTTCTTTTATCTCTAGTGTCTACTTTAGTAGTTGGAAAGTGGCACCCAGTTCCCATGATCGGTGGTATTCCATTTCCTTCTGGTGCACAGTAGAATTTCCATCCTTCGTTTTATGTTTACTCATGCATTTAGTCCTATTGTCTTTATTTTTGGCCTTCGGTATTATTGTTATTCAACTGCCTATTGTTGTTTTGTTTAACTGACTTATGTAGCTTACAATTTCCAATTGGCAGTGTGCTGTGAGTTTCAGTTCAGAGACCATTCCAAATGGCATTGGGTTTGGAGGGTGAGTTAATCACTTTGGCCATGTTCCTCTCAGCAGGCTTTGATCAGGGACACACTTTCTCTTGCACAACATTCAACAGCCCTTGCCTTTCAAAGAACAGTAAAATCTGCCCAGAAGTGATAGAATGCTGGGGAGTCGTAAGGAAATAAAACAAGGAGAAAGACAAGATGCTCTCAAAGGTGCTGTGTTAGAAAGGTTTAAGGAGGACCGGAATATGCTCAATATGGTAGGGATTGCAAATGCTAGTGAGTAAATGTGTTCATCTTTGGCCTGCACCTTCGGATGGGGCTTCAACATTCAGATCAGTGCTTAAGGTTAGGAGTCCTGTTCAATATCTGTCTAGTTTATGGAAAATTGTTTTTCTCTTGAGTCCCTGATTCTTCAATCAAACAGAACTTTATTTATTTATTTTTTTTATCAATGTAGTACCTAAGAACGCAAGTGTATCATGTATACACCAAATCCTCTAACTACAAAATTTTACTGGTGGTTTGAAATAGGAAATTACAGCAGTGTTTATCAGGTGCTATACACTAATCTACTCATCTCACAGAAATACTTTTATGCATCTTTCTTTAGCTAGAAATAGTAATTATAATGTTTCTCTATTCCTTGGAAAGAAATATCAAATAATATGAGTCATTTAACTCTTTCAGTGCTCCCTTGTTGCTTAAGTTTCAAAAATTCGTGGGCAGCATAATGTAAGTAGCTTGCCTCTTTAATGCAAAATTTAGATTCATGATATCATTCACTTGATACCAATAAGAGTTTGGCTAAGTTGGTATCCACTCAAAAACCTTTTCGAGATTAAGGTCTGAAATTCAAATATCTGTGATGTTAAGTAACTAACTGTCCAATTTGACATATAAAATAAAAAAGATATTATTCTTCATTCAGTTGATGCAGTAGGTAGTTAGTAGGATAATTGTATATCAACATTTGCTTTTCCATTATTGGAATTTTTCTATTTTTCAAATACAGCTACTATTTTTAAGCTCTATTATAACTAGAGGGGCTATTGTAAAGTTAACATTGCTTCTTTGGTATTTCTTAGTGGAAAATATATTGTTCAAACTCTGAAAGTTAATTCAAGCGTGTCTCATGTCTGACTTTTTTGTGGCTGATCAAACATGTCTGACATCTATTCTTTTTAAATCATTGATGAAAGTGGGTTCGGCACTAGAATAAAAGAGATTTTAATTTTTTTTCCTTCTTTTTATTTGGAAAGGGTTTCTTTCATCTCAAGTTTCTACTCTAGTAGTTGGAATGTAGCATAGACAGACGGTGTGGTATTTCCATTTTCTTACAGTTGTTGTAGTGTACATTAGCACTTGCCTCATTTATGTTTACGCATGTATTTAGAACTATTATTTTTTAGTCACGAAGGCTTCCATATCTGGAACTTCATGAACTTTTCGGTATTTCACCCTCAGCTCCTCTATTCCTTAGTATTTGAAGGAGTTGCATTTAACTACTTGACCCTGCTTTCAAAAATTATATTGCATTACATCTCTTGCTTTATCATTTTCATGGATTGCTGTTTTATTGCCTTCTTCACAGTCTCCTCTACCGTGTTTAATTGTTTCTCTGTTTTCTGTCTTCAAAAGAACAAAACAATGCAGCTAACTGGCTTCCTTCTTGCTGACATTTTCATTGCAGACTCATTTTCATCTTTTTTGCGAGTTTGAATGCAACAACTTCAGCGGTAACACTCAAAGCTTCAAAATCAAATCTAAAGAAAACAGATATCTTAATATATCCTTCGCACTTTGGACCTATTCTTTACAGCATTTGTGCTTTGGCTGTCTTTTGCTTTGCAGCATATCGTAAAATGTCTAACTCTTCAGCACCTCCTTCACCAGAATCACCACAGCTTCTCCTTTAGACTTTGCTGGAGGTTCTGCAATATCAAGGTTACATCTAACGTGGACGTCATCTTTCAAAGAGCTGGCATTTCTAACAACTACGTGCTTTTGCTTATTTTTAATCTTCTACAGCTCCCCGGAGCTTAGGACTTGGCTACTTGGTCATCAAAGTAATTGATGCAGTTTACTGGGTACTCTGTTAGTCCACAGTGGCATTGTCTCAAAAATAGTTACTATTTAAATTTACAAATGTTTATAAATAAATATATACTCTTGAAAAAATATACTATATATCCACCAAATATTTATTACAACGGTGGCAAACACAGAAGCCTAATCAATCAACCAACTTTGACCAACGGTCAAAGCATAGTTTGAGATCCGTGACAACAATCATTTATTAAAAGCAACACGCATGTATTATAAAAAAAAGGCAGCATTTATTCAAAGCAACATTCATTTAAGTGACTAATTCACTAATTCATTGAGTCCAAAGCTAGGTGACCTAATAATGACTTCAAAAAGAGTTTGGATGTAGAGTTTTGAATTCAATACCCAAACACTACCTCTCATCCCAAAAATTCCCTAAGTTAAAAAAAAAAAAAAAAGACTAAGTCACTGGCATCACTAGAATTTGCAAGATTTTTTACCGCTGTCCTCAACCCCTCAAGTTCCTCATCCCCCTAGCGACCATATCTGCTGTCCTGCTCATCGAGGATATCCCTTTCTTACCAAAGATGTTTGACCTAAGTCAAACCCAAGATCTCAACCAGAAGAGGAAATTGCAACAACACGTAGCATACGATAGGAATACCAGCAAACAGAGTTATAGGAATGACTAACCCCAATCCACCTTGACCTTGTAGCATCATGAAAAGAGCAGCACAAAATGCTGTGGTCATTGTTGCAATAGAGACGAAGAGTGAAGTAAGGCCGATAATCAAGAGGAAGGTTTTGCGGTAATCTTCATCAGAATGATGTGAAGTCAGAATCCCCAAAAACATTATCACTGAACTGGATGCAGTAAAAAGAGAAATTGCATCTGATACCATAAATATCATAAACGGTGTCGGAGTTTTGTGCAAAAGTACGGGAAAACCTTCACCTTCATCATTCCCACCAGGAACAGTAAGAGCCACTGCAAACATAATTGTAATAATAAGAGCACCAACGACTGTTGAAGATTCTGCTGTTTTCTTTACCCATTCTTCCGCTTCTTTTAGCAATTCCTTGTGTTCTCTAACAAACACTTCCAAGGGGGTTTCATTGTCTGTATTTTTGCCTTTTTTGTAGGCTCCTGGAACAATTTCTTTTACTGCCTGCAATTGTTTCATAATATTATAGATGCTAAGTGAGAAGCTAATAAATAAT